ACCACCCCCTACCGGTGCACGAATTTCATGCACCAGGCCACTAGTATATATATAAACCAAAATCCTCTGACAAACCCTAGAGAAGACAGTATAGATTGTCAAATCAACTTTTACCCAATGAGGATGGGAAGGGGGACTATCTTCTCTACTTAATTTATATTTGTATTGATTTCTATAATAAGCATGTATTGCTTGTATAATGAAAAAAAATTTAGAATGCATTCTATACATTTTTAAATCTTAGAAAGTATAAAATTTATCCTCTAAAAAGAAACTTCAAATAGCAAAATTAGAGACCTCAGTTTAATTCACATAATGGAAATCTCCTGTCTACCTGACACTGACTTGTTTATAGTTTCCTGTACAGATCATGCTGCCTCCTACTTTCCAGTCTCTCTCTGATCCTCTGCCTCCCACATAGACTCATAAGAGTTTTCTGTTTTCTCCACCTCACTGCAACCAAAGTAGACATCCACCCATAAATCCATAGGTGGTCTTCACTATTGTGTTTTACTCCTTTCTCCATTCCTTCACTAGACCATGAGCTCCTTGAAGAAAGGACAGCTTCACCAACCTCTGTATCTCTAGGGCCTAGCATAGTGCCTGGCATATAGCCACATTCCATCAAATGGTTGTAACTGAGTTGAATGAATCAAAATCACCTTGAGAAACTTATTTTCTTTAACACAAAGTACTTTAGGGGAAAAAGAACTACATCCACATTCGAATATGATGTATTTTTAAAAATCACATGCTATCTGAATATAAGAAATTCCCTCAACAACAACTTAATCCACTAACTAGCCCACCTTTGCCAAACTGGGCAGGGATGGTAGGCATGCACTGTTCAACTTCTGAACAGACAGCTAGGAGATTCCCTGGCATCAACAGCTGCTGCCTCAGCCACTCCCAGCTTAGCCTCATATCTCAACTTCCACACAGGTTTCTTCTTTGGAGAAACATATGCTAAACAAAGAAACCAATTAACCAAATAAAAAAAACAAAAAAAACAAAACAAGCCTACAGCCACACAAATAAGGCCTGGATTCCTAAACAAATTAAAGCAGAGCTCCTGAAGCCTGACAGTGAATAGAGATTATCTGCAGATGGGTGGGAGGGTGGAGGGCCCTATAAGATGATGATCTGAGAATCACTTGCCCCTTAAGAATCTCCTTTTAATTACTGCTCTGGTTGAAGGGAGACACTACTCCCTCGATTAACAGATTTTTCTTCTCACTATCAACATAGATTCCTGGATTTTTATGGGTCATTATATAATATTGTCAATTTTTTTTTTTCTCAAATGTTTCAGGTTTGGCCACTGGGAGACCTTTCAAATTGGATGCTGTGTTCTTACTATGTCCCCATCATTTTATCCAATTTGTTTTAGCACTTTTTGGAAGGAATATTAATGATCAACTAATTCATCTTTAAGTTGACTCCAAGTGCTCCTGGCAAGTTGTCACTGGTCATCAAGTGGGCTTCCCTGTGTAGTAGCAACATTGACCTTCTAACAACATCTATAACAACTAAGGTTTATTGAATGCTTTACTCATAACACCTCATTAAAGTCTCACAATAAGTCTATGAACAGATAAGATACCTGTGCACCAGGCCTCTAGTATTTATATAATTGATATGATGATGTATAAAAATGCTTTGGGCAATAATAGGTAGAAATAACAATTTTCAGTGCTTTATTTATCAATATGTACCATAGCTCTTCTGTATATGAGTTTTTGCAAAATAACATTTATATTGACCATAGTTTTCTGCCTATGCCACTTACTATAATTCTCTACTACCAACAACTATAGAAAAATCAATTTAATAAGAATTAAATCATTATTATTTTGCAGCTCTAAATAGCTAAGAAATGCATTGAGAATGTTAATTTAGAACTTTAAAATATTTATCATTTAAAGAAAGACAAGCACTTGCCTTCATCTCCATCGTCCCCAAATGGGTAGAAGAGAGCAACAGCTAAATTGATGAACACGGCCAAGTTGAATGAGATGCTCCCCCAGAGGGATATGTGTCTTGAGAACCAGAACAGGGCATGGTTATCTAGTAAGGAAGACGCGCAAGGGGATAGAACAGAAAAATAAATTTTGGTTTCCACACATCAACCCTACTGAAATAACATTTTCCTAAATACATTTTTGTAAACTCGTATAAAGCATATTTAAATAAACACTTAATATGCTCTATTTTAGAAAGTTTATAATCAAGACCATGAAGGAGTTTTCTATTTGATTCCTTTATCATTTAGCCAATTCACAACCAAACCATTGTAGAAGGGTGCGTAATTTTGCAATTGCTAATGATGGATAGGAAAGGTGATTCTGTATTAATTCTCTCTAATATATCCCTAGAGAAGATTAGGGAAAAGATAGGTTAGCAGCTGCCTGAGGCCATTTTTAATGGAATGGTACACACTGCTATATAACGTAGAAAGCTGATACATTTGTCCCACGCCAATGCCTTAAAGTCAAATAAAAAACAAAACCCTGGCACATTTATATCTCTGATGAAAATTCCTATGACACAGACACAGTTACCTGAAACTATGAAACTTAATAGCATGGCATAGTACCACTTCTTGGGAACTAGTGATTTACAAGGACTTGTTGGGTTTGCGACAGCAGAAGAAAGTGAAAAATACAATAAGAACTACCCACAAGTGACAATGGCTTTGCTGAATAATTTCAGAAAAGGAACTCTGTATTTGTCATCAGAAAAGAAATAGCAAATGTATCTATTGCATACAATTTACATCAAACAAAAACCGTGAAACAACCCGCTCCATCATAAAATCCTAAGAGGAGAGAGGACGAGCGTGCGGGGACCGGCATCTCCATGCCATTCACTGAGTGTTAAGGCCAGTCAGGGCCCATTTGGGGACTTCAAACCTGCAGCTGTTCAACAGTTGAAACATACAACTGCAACCTTGAAATTCATAATATTTATAAAACTATAGGACCAGCACTGGAAGATGACCTAAGTCAGAGGTTTCTGTTTGCAGGAAGCTGCAGGTGTCTTGGCTCCAGCCAAGAATATAGATGGAGCTTATCTTCTTAAGGCTGTAGGGGATCTCAGTGACATCAGATGGCAGGAAATTAAAAACCAGTTTAACTGAAGAGTGTCACGTGTCCCAAAGTACCAATGGGCCTACCACAACGCCCCAAAGTCACCACGTTCGTTTACTGTACTTACTCCTGATTTTCTTCTGCCACTTCATTTCATTGTAGAGGTCTTCTGTTTGCTGGAAAAAGTCGTTCACTTTGCTTCCTTGCTCATCCCTTTCGGTCATAGTGAACACACGGGACTTGGACTCCCGCGTAAGGTATTCACAGATGTTGGGGACAGGAAAGACAATCTGCTCCATGGTCCTATCATGCCGGACAATCTGCAAACATTAATTTACAGATGCTTTAGCTTTTAGCACCTTGGTCTTAGCATACTGTTTATTTTTTCGCACAAGTATGTTAAACACATTTTATGAATTCAGTTAATGAAAAAACAAACAAACAAACAAACAGGCCAGTTTGAAGTATCCTAGATAGTCCTTTACTGGACTACTTTACATTTTTCTCTTGAAGGAAGAGATAGTAACTGACTAAAGTATCATAAATATTATACTTTGTTATAAATAACAAAAGCCCAAGTCTTTCTTCTTTCTGGATTACCATTAACCCCATTTTTACTTTCATTAAGGACAGGAGAGAATTAAGAGGGTGTTAATTAGCAAGTGACTCACTAATCACATTACACCCTGCACTTGATATATCTGCGTCTTGTTCTTAGCCTGTCCTTCCTAAAAAGGGCTGTTGGGAAACAAATGGCCCACTCAACATGAGGCCAGAGAAAGGTGCTCTATATCATTAAAATATTTCCCTATTTGTGGCAACACATACCTTCTGTAGGTAGAATATCCATTCTAGCATATACCTATATGTAAATATTCATTATTTTGAACTTTTCTTATTTGGTATTTGTGACAATTTAATGTTAGATTAAAAAAAAAAAAACAGGCTAAATATTTTCATACAGTTTTACCATGTAACAAGGGTCTGTGAAAACCAAATCTGAAGGTTCACATTTACATATGCTGTCCAACCCCCAAGAATGAATCAAGACTGGCCTAAACCAGAAGAGTGGCCTATTTCCCTTTGCCACTGATGGGGTCTTGGTGAGCATGTGACCTGCTTCTGGAGAATGAGGCATGAGGAGAGATATCCTGGGAGGTGGGGGGAGGCTTTCAGGAAAGATTTGGTTTCCAAAAAGGTAGAGAGCCTTTGAGACCAACAAAATAATAACAACAAAAAAACCAAATAGCTAACACGAAAGTGCTTTTTGCCTGTATATTCTTTGTTCCTGCTGAGAACAAAAGGTAGTGTAAGGAGATGATGCCTGAAACTGTGCAGCTATTTTACAACCAGGAGGTAAGACATAACAAAGAAGACTGAGGAGAAAGATGGGAAAGGCCTGCATGTGTGAAGACATTATTATTATTACTTTTATTGATTTCAGAGAGAGGAAGGTAGAGGGAGAGAGAGATAGAAACACCAATGATGATAATCATCTATCAGCTGCCTCCTGCATGCCCCCTACTGGGGATCGAGCCCACAACCCCAGCATGTGCCCTGACCGGGTTCATAGGTCGACGCTAACCACTGACCGGGCATAGTGTGCACTCTTTATCAGAAAATATTTTTTCCTAATTATGAGAGTTCCAAATTGGATCAGTTCCCCCTGAAGCAGTGAGGTCTCTAGCACAGGAAGAACTGAAAGCTACAGAGCTATTATAAAGCAATTCCTCCTTGGATGGGTGAGCAGACCAGGTAATCCACAAGGTGCTTCCTATTTCCCAGGATCTTTGAGTCTATAACTTATCGACAAACTCTGATTTTCCACAATATTCATCATTGTGGTGATATGCCAGATACAGTGTTCAGTTTTGGAAATACAAAGATGACTAGGACCTGCCTCATGCAGAGGACAAATGACACATAAGAAGCAATACTGCATGTTAAACCAACAGAACAACCACACTGTGGCAGGAGCACAGTGAGGGGAAATGAACGAATACTGTGAAGAAAAGAGGGCAGGTCATATGAGGTGGTCTTTGAATGAGCATGAGAATTGGTAGCGAGTAAATGCTCAGCACATGTTTATTGAATTCATGTATTTCCAGCTAAATCTTACCTCACTGCTGGGAAACCAATAAAAGTCCGACTTCAACAATAGCCCCATCTCTCACACACCCCAATCCCCACCTCTGGCTTACCCACTCTCCTGGCTTTTCCTGATCTTTTCTAATCACCTCGCTTTGCACTTTGGCTTCTGGGACCTTCCTTAGAACCATAATGGCTTGATGATCTATTTGTATCCATTTCTCCAGCTCCCTGACTTTGCCAGCCTCTGGCTCCTAAGCACCTGATGCAGAAAGCAATGCTTTGCTGCTGGTCCATCTAATAGTTTCCATTAGGTCAAGTATCCCACAAAAGCTACAGGAATATTAATGTTTATAAATACTAGCAAGGGATCCATTCTGTGACACAGGTCATAATGCTCATTATTCCAAAGGTTTGGCAATAGTAAACAATAAGGTCTAGTGATTATATATCACAAGAGTTAAGAGCAGTGATGCCCATCATGCACTCTGCTGAACACTAAAATATATCTGCCAAAGTGAATGAATGTTTGAATGTAAATTACTAGTGACAAGCATCTACCACTCTACCTACTTCTGCCCGATTAGCTCTGCCAACTAGAGTCAGAACGACACCATAGCTCGTAAATGACAGCCAGATGGGTCTCACAACACATCATGATAAGTCTGTGTGGACCCACACCTCCTGAACTGCCACCGGCCATTAAAGAATGTCTCATTTATGGGGTGGGGAGGTCAATTGTTGCATACTGAAAATGGAAACTCTTACACCATCCCAAGTTTATGCTATCGATATAAAAACTTTATTTGTGACTTCAGTGTTTCTTACACTTTCGAATATTTTCTTAGCCAGAGATCTCTATTTTAATAAGCCTTCTATAGTTTTTAACACTCCGGTGTGGGATGAATTTCCCGCCAAAATATAAGATGGCTCTGTCTTTTGGTTTTGTTCCATCCACCAAAAGGGTGGATTACAAACAAATATTTGGTAATACGCAGTTACAATCGGCCCGAGTTTACACGTTTCCCGCACTCCACCGCAAATCTATATGAACCGAGTTAAAGACGGCTCCCGCGGAGTACGCGCAATTCACGCGAGCCGACTTAACTCGTTTCCCCCACTCCAAGTGTTAAAAAAAAAGCTTTTCTTAAATGACCGCTTCTATTATTGTGGGGGGG